TGGCTGGAGGCTAGAGGGCCCCCGGTGTTGGCTGGAGGCTAGAGGGCCCCCGGTGTTGGCTGGAGGCTAGAGGGCCCCCGGTGTTGGCTGGAGGCTAGAGGGCCCCCGGTGTTGGCTGGAGGCTAAAACTGAGCCAGTACTCTGAATCAAACTTTAATGAGCTCATTGTTTTTGAAGTTTATTTTGGGTAAACATTTGAACATCTTGATGTGTAAATATTTCTAAAGTAATGACATCCTGCTGAACGAGCCAAATGTTTTGATTTAATGAACGTCTGAAATGGCAAATRTTCACGAGTTAATTTGTAAAAAAATGCTGASTTAGCATGCAGATTGGCTCTGTTAGGACTGTGAGGAGATAAAGACTTTATTTGTTCAAAAGACAAATATTCAGTGTTTTTGCATAGTTTTTCTCTTCAATCTTATCTCAAACATTTATTTATTTAGTTTTCTGCCATGCTGCATCTCTGTGAAGCCTGGATGTTTTTAAYCTGAAACTAGAAGCTACATTTAAAACTAGACTGCAGCAGACCAACAGAAAAACAACGTGAAACACTCCGAGTGACTCTGGAAACACTTACAGTGTGAAAACAAAGGTTTAAATGTGTGAAATGGTGAATCTGTCTGCAGCTTGCAGGGACTGCTGTCCTCGCTGTGGGACTCTGGCTGCGMTTTGACTCCAGGACCAAAGGACTGTTTGAGGGAGAGGACTCTCCTTCTGTCTTCTTCACAGGTAAGATGTTCCTCAAACAGACATCAAACAGACATAAAAATCACATTTTATGCAAGGTTTCTTATATAAAAATGTGTTTTCTTTGACTTTCTATTTGTGTCGGCATGTCAACATGTTCAGTTTGTTCCTTCAGCACAAACTGAAACTGAACCTTTTTTTTAAAGGAGCTAAAATGACGACATGAGCTAATCAAAAAGAAGAGCAAACTATCATTTAAAACAGATTTTTGATAAAAAAAATTTCACAATAAAACAATGATTTGATTAGGGCTGCACCGATAGTTGAAATAATCGATGACGTCGATTATGTAAATTTGTCAACGCAGATTTTTTTAATATCGATTCGCTGTATTGCATAACCACCACGTGAATGTTCATGCAATTCCATTTCGGTACCTAAAAGCATCATTGCGACCGTATTGGCATAAGAGTGGTGAGTTTTCCATGCTTGTCCTGAACGCAGCATTGATTTGATTTATTGATTCAACAGGAAAAGATTACTAAAAATCAAGCCTGACTCAGCATAATTGCTGTTT